CTTGATTTCATTTTCTTTTCATTTCGTGCATAATTTCACACGAGGCATGATATGTTCTCAAAGAATCATGAGAATTTATCTAGGTGAGGCAGGAATGATCAGATAACCAATTCAGATTACAATTTTGGCTAAAAAATATCATGGCCTTTGACATTTCTTTTAAATATATTTGAAAAGCTGTATTAATAGAATCGTAACAATTAATGTAATGTGTGATATGAATTGGACCCTGGATCAGAATTTGGTGGAGGTATGGCGTGGGCACGGGAGAGAGTTACAAATGATATTACTGAGAAAACTGGCAAAATATGAATATGGCCTATAGAAGAGGTAATAGTGTTGTATCAATGTCAATTTTCTGATTTTGATAACTGTACTCTAGTCATGTAAAAGAATGTCCCTGCTCTTAGGAAATACAAGCTAAAGAATTTAGAAGTAAAGAAAAGAGGCATCTTACTCTCTGCAACTTACTCTCAAATAGTTCAGAAAAAAATTATATACCAGTATAAATAAAGAGAAAATGAGAGAAAAAGCATAGTAAAATAATAATTGGGGAATCTGAGTAAAGAGTATTAAAACTTGTACTATGTGTAACTCTTCTGTAAGTAGGAAGTAATTTCAAAATTTAAAAAAAATCACCAAAAAATGTTAGTTTATTTAAAAACTCATTTATAGTGGTCTTATGACCAAAAACAAAGCCAAATTACATCATAAATTGTATATCTCAATTAGTTTTAATATTATATTGGTGGCATTATTAACCAGAAAAACACTACTTGAGTTCTATTTGATTAGAAAATCATTGAATCTCAAGGTTAGAAGGGAACTAAGAGACCAAACAACGCAAATAAACACCTGTGTTTCCCAATGTGAAACCATAAGAAATTAAGTAACGTAAAAAGGAAGCAGAGTATGAATCATGAAGCCAGCACAGAAGACGTTGTTCTACCTTAAACTGCTGTTGATCTCCGCCCAGCCCAGTTTCCATGACACATGAAGCAAAAGTCCACCAATTAACGTCTGCCACCTGTAAAGGATAAGGGCCAATCTGAATTTATTTTGTTTTAATTTTAATTTTTTCCCAATCTGAATTTAATAGAGTGCCATGGTCTCAAAAGCCATCCAGCCCCGGAGACCTGGTGACTGACACAAATATACACATCCAATCCTTCTTACAACTTTTTTCTCCCAGTCTCTCCTAATTATCATCCCAATTCTCAGGCCTGTCCTTCTCAACTTCTACCATTCCCTTGAACCCAGCTGTACCATTAAGTGCTGACATTGGTAGTCTACATTTCTTATTCTAAACTTTCCCTGAATGACCTCACTCACAGCCACCTCTTTGCCCATCACCTCTGCACTGATGATTCTCAAGTCCCCCTTCTCACTCGGATACCCCACAAGCTCCCATATAAAACATGCCTAAAACATTACCTGGAGCTTCCTCCTCCCCTTCCTGACCATCCTCCCTCTATCCCTAATCAGCAAACTGGACACCTACATGTCATCCTAGCCCTTCCTCCAGTCTCATCTCCCTCATTTACTCGAAAAATCCTACTGGTTTTATCCCCATAACAGTTCTCAAATCTGAAGCCTTCCCTGCCATGCCGAATGCCTCTGCCTCATTCAGACTCATGCTCTCATACCTGAACCACAACACTGTCCTTTCTCTCCAGGGTTGTCCCACCCCATCCATTCTCTAACTTGCAGCCAAAGGGTTTGTTCTAAAATGCAAACTGAAGTGTGCAACTCGCTTGTTTTAAAAATGGTTGCTTTTGCCCGGTGCTGCAGGTAGCAGTTCTCAGCTTCTTTTCTGCCACAACATATCTGGGCTCATGAGACACACTTCCTCAGCATGCAGAGTTTAGGGGTAGCACCGGTTATCAAATAAACATCTCTCCTTCTCCCAGTGCAGAAACCACAGCAAAATACCAAATGAATGAGAGAGGAACTATAGGCGTAACATAGGTGTAACACTATCCTGTTTCATTCCAATTGCTTTTTTATTTTAGGTGAATCATTCACAAATTTCAAAACCTTTTTTTTTTTAGTTATGACTTGAGACGCCACCTCAGAAATGATTATAACACACCCATGTATTACGACACCACCGTTGAGAAGCCCTGGCTTACAGGATAGTCACTTGTGACACGCAAGACTTCCAGAATTTGCACCCACCCCTCTCCAGGATCAGCTCCTGTGAGTCTGCCATGGCAGCCACATTCCAGCCACACTGAATGGCCCACAGCCTCGGGAATGTGCCAGACCCTTTCATACTTCTAAGAGCTCACATGTGCTGTCTTCCTGACTCATAATGTTCTTCCCATCTCCTTGTGTGTTGGTGAACACCTGCTTATCCTATAAGATCCAGTTTTTACGTCTCCTTTGTGAAATCTTCACTAACAGACAGAACAGACAGGTATGGGTTGTGCCCTCAAACAGCTTGGTCTAGAGCAGTGGTTCTCAACTAGACGGTTTCCCCCAGGGTATATTTGGCAGTATCTGGAGACATTTTTGGTTGTCATACCTGGGGGTAGAGGAACGGAGGGCTGTTACTGGCACCTGATGAGTAGAAGCCAGGGATGCTGCTGAACTTCCTACAATGTGCAGGACAGCCCCAAAACAAAGAATTACATTTGGGAAAGCTTCTTTTTACAAGGGAAAGAGTATCTTTGAGAGAAGCAAGGTCACGGGCCAGAAAGCAAGTTAGGAGTTGTTAGAGTAATATGAGAGATGACAGTGGCTTGGGAAGGGACAATTCAATGAAGAAGGTGGACAGATTCTAACCATGTTTAGGAGGTCCTGGTGGTTAACTGCACATTGGGGATGAAGGAGTCAAAGGAATCAAAATAATTCCCAGGTTTCTGAGTGCGTCAATAGGGGGTACTGTTCACTGCAGGTAAATTTATGGGACAGGTAGAAGAGAAAAGCACGCTCCACAGGGAGCTTTGTTTCCTTCACTGATGTATCCTCAAGTGTCTAGAACAGTGCCTGGCACATAGTATGCACTCAATAAATATTTGTAGAATGAGTTACACTGCCCTACTATGTACTTCCAACGTGCCAGGAATTCCTCTACGCATCAGGGATCCTTGGCAACAGTGTGAATTTTTTTAAAATCTTGCATTTAAAGACCTTACATTTTTGGGGGGAGGTGCATTCAGTCTGACCCATGCCCAGACAAGGTGGGGAAAGGCAATTCAGATGTAAAGGTCTTCCTTTCCCACATAAATCCCATAAGTCCCTCTATCTGGAGAGACGTGAAAGGACACGCAGGACCACTAAACGATTCCTATTCACTACAAGGGAAACAATATCCCAGCTTCATTGACTGACGTATACATAATCATAGACAATATTTTTAAAGTTTTGCTATGAAATATTAGGGAGAAACTTGACAAAAGTAACTCTAAAGTTCACCTGAAATAAAGAACAAAACTCCAAAAGTATAAAAAAGTGATGAGAAGTCTTCTTCCCTTCCCTATCCACTATCTGCTTTTTTTCCTACGTATAATCACTCTTACTAGCTTCTTCTTTATATTTTTTTAAATAAGAAAAACATACACACATTTCTACATGATGGTAGTTTACTATACTGCTATGGACTTGTTTTGTTCCCCCTTAAATTCATCTTGGAGAACCTTTCCATGTCAATACATGAGAGCTTCCTTATTATGTTTTAACATTTGAATAGTATTTCATTAGGAATATGATATAATTTATTTAACTGGTTCTGGATAGATGAAAATTAGGTTGTTTAAAAATGCTTGCTTTCACAGAGCTGCAATGTTTCTTTGTACATAGTTCATTTACATAAATGCAGGTAAACCTCTCGGGTAAAAAATCTCGAGTGGAATTGCTGGATTAAAAAATTTAAGCTGCAGTATTATTATACAATATATTGCCTAAGTGCCACTCATAGATATGGTACCAATTTGCCAGCCCATGATAACCATATGAGAGTACCTGTTTTCTACATCCTCACCAATGCTGTCATCAAATTTTGAAATTTTATTTGGCAAATTTTATAGGTAAAATATTATATCTCAATATAGTTTTCAATTATATTTTCCTTATGAGTAAAGAATATTTCTTTATATGTTCAAGAGCCATTTGTAGGGTGGGATTTTTGTTTTTGATATTAAGATCTAGTTTTAGTGCAAGAGGATTGTATAATTGCTACAAAATTTTTTAAAATCACTGCTGTTTTATTCACAGTGAATATTCCATGGGCATATAAGGACATAATCTCTCTTTTCAAGATAGNCACTACCTAGTGTTACTGATCCCACAACAGGGCATAGATGGGGTGGACACGGATAAGCCTTCCTGCAGGTCTGGAGACAGAACAAGTCTGACTTTTTTTAGGGGTCAGTGAATGTTATTCTTTGGATTGAAGTAGCCATGAGTTTTGAACCCATACCATATTATTAAAAAACTAAAAGGGCTCTTTACCTAGACAATATATCAAACAGCTCCATGGAACCACAATAAAAGGAACCACAGGGTCAAATGACAGAATTTAAAGATAAAAGAGCACTAGAACTTGAGTTGGGTGGCCATGCGCTGACTTCTTCAACCATTATCTGGAATGCCGGTTCCAGGAATCTTTAAGGACTTGGTTCAACTGTGGCCATACCAAGCACAGCTTTTTTATTACAGGTTAGAATCTGGCTCTCCTCAAGAAAAGCAAAGTCCCAGTTTTTCCATGGAGTATCACTGGGCTTGCAACTTGCTTCCCTCATCAGTTACAAATGCGTATGATCCACTAATTCAAGTTCCCAGCATTATTCTAATAATAGATGTAAATAAATGACCATTCCAGAAGGATATAACAAAATAATCCCAACTAACTCAATGAACTGCTCTCCTGGGATGGTGCCTGCTCAAGAAATGATCTTTGTTAGTTTTATTAGCATGGGCAGGCACTCCATCCATGATCAGACCTGCTTTTGTATAACTTTCCAGGGAAGACGGCATTAAAATATTTCCAGTCTCTAGTAAGACCTTTGAGCCCTACTTCCGGTATATGCATACTTTCATCAGCAAATACTTACAGCAGCTTGGAAGGTGCTTACAGCACCAGAATTACTAACAGCAACATCACAGTTGACACTTGTTGAGCACTTGCTACAAGACAGGCACTGTGTATACGAAATGTTTTCTACACCATATCTTTTTAAAATATGCACAACAATCTTATGAGAAGAGAATTATTATTATCCCCATTGTGCAGATGAGGAAAGTGAGGCACAAAGAATTTAAATGTTTGCCTGTGGTCAGAAGAGCTGGTAATGGCAAAGGCAGAATTTGAATTCAGGTCTGTCTGACTCTTAAGTCCTTTCATACTTTACCCTCAAGGACCTCGTAATCTAATGAGAGACACGGACATATAAATAGATTAGCTATACACACATGATTTTGTTCAGGAAGCATACTAAACAGCTAATGATCTGAGGGGTATTCTCTGTCGCCACTAGTCCTGCTGCAATAATAGATGTTTGCACTTCCAACCAAAAGGTGAACAGAGAAAGGAAGGTCCCCATCCTAATGAGTCAAGCGTAACATCAGCCAACTGCTAGTCTTCCTGGAAAAGGCTTTCCCATTAGACATNGAGACTGACCGACACAAGAAATATGGCCTCTTTGCAACTTAAGAAATGTGGTGCCAGGTTCAGTAAGTTGTTTGAGAGGGAATCTGGGACTCTGCTGTGCTCCAAGCTATAAGGACAGTATAAATGAGCTCTCTGTGGCATATGCTATTAAGTACCAATTTGAGACCCACTCTCCATCCCCACCAATGTAATTCCCACTCCATGATGACCTCGGGGACCCCAAGCCGTCTTCCTGCTGTTGTTTTCATTTTTAGTAGAACCCAACCTCTGCTATCTCTGTACAAGTACACAGTCACACAGCAAAGCTGGACTTGGGTTCCCTAATGACCTCATCAGATAGCCAAGCCCAGTAGGAAACAGCAACCACTGAATAAACACAAACCCAGCCCAGGAATATGCAAAGGAACACTGGT